CAAATGATACTTTGAATATTACATGTTAATAACTTGATTGGAATTATAACCTTGAATTGACAGTTTGATACTTTGAAAATTTTGAGCCAGCCCTACCCCCAAGGGCTGTAGGTGCTAGTTTCAAATCCTTTTTAGTCTGAAATCTGTATGCTAGATATTGAGTAAGGTGGTTTTATTGTTTTTTGTCACTTTGAATAATATTTCTGTTCATGTTAAAAACAAAATCAACTCTCTGTATAAATATATCAGGTGACCGTTAAGGCCCATGGGCCTCTTGTTTCACTTTATTCCCCATTTCAGTAATAAAATTGTTACTCAAATGGGTCACTGTTACCCAAATGCAGGATTATTACCCATATGCGCCATTGTGCCCAACATGTACATATATCACCATGCATATTTAAAGCTTTTACAGTTTTCTCAATAATAATGGACACTAGACGAGTTATTTAGTAACTATTCCATTATTGGTAACATGTCATGATATGGATTCGCACAACGGTCCTGAAATCAAATGTCACTTTTCCAACTAAAACAATAGTGTCATTCAATAAAATGTTTCACCAATGGTCATATATTACATTGCTCTCAAAACATGATGGCCAAACTGCCTCCACTTCTATCAATTTTGAGGACAATGGATGATGCATGAGCCCATGACAAATTTCCTACACTGACATGTGTCATGATGAAATACCTTAATATAGTGATTAGCTTAACCCAATATACTGGTTTTAATATTACATCTGGGGATGGACTAGCTATAGGGGAGCGAGTCTACATAATTGTAACTTTATTATTTAACAAGCGCTCTTTACTATACAGCAGTTACTAATCTTCCAATTAGCTCGAGTTTTCTCTGGTCCCAAAACAAGACTTTTGACATTTTGACTGGTGTTAGGACCAAAAATGTTCTGGCTAGCCCACCTTAGTGAATGACGACAATGCATATGCATCTCCAATTATATGTTACACACCTTTCTTGTCAATCTTTGTACATATCCTTGTGCCATAAACTGACCAAGATATGGCTATTAGAACAGTGTTAATAACCAACCAAATCAGTAGAAATAATAGTATTTGTATTTGAACGTCGTCTGTATCCACAGTTATGGATGTTCGGGCACTGAACAAGCCGCTTACGTCGTTGCAAAAACCTAGAATTATATTCCACGACAAACCCAGAAAAGTGGTCGCACTAAATTCCACACCGTTCATTAGAATTGATGGTTAAATGAAACCACAGAAATATCAGTTAGATCAATAGACACTCTCTTGCAATTGGTAAAAGAGCACCCCAGCAATCCCAGATATCATCCACTACCGCATACGGTAACGTTAAAGATTTACGGACTTGTCTCCAATCAGGGGCCGCAACTCTGTTTAATTTCGACAATGGCTAATTTAATAAATGTACTCATCTTTGTAAATTTAATCAGCACCTTTATTTCATAAATTTCAATGTAGTTTTGATGTAATGATAACATAACCAACAATGTCCTTAGAGTTCTAAGGAAACTTCTCAACACGAAATTGTATGCAATGAGTTTAATAACGACTGTATTTGTCGGGTTACGGCATGTCAGCGGAAGTAACAGTTGGAAGTTGTTGTTGACAGTTTGTGTATTAGCCCAGGACCCACACGAACAGGTGTATTTTTCTGCAAAAGATGAAACCTTAGCAACGATTTAGTCGGATATAGAATAGTTGGATATCCATGATTCATCAGTTTCCGTACGCGTACGATTGATAACTATAAACACACGGCATAAAATAGTGTATTCTTGAAAACCAACACGTCATCAACTGCAAAATGAGTACAAAATAAGTTAGGTGGTGGACTTGAGTTCAGTTGGACTTAAAAACTGGAATATGTGACTTGAAATATCAGTATCCATCCATCAATAGGATATGTCATGAATTTCTTTCGAGATTGTCTAATTTCCATCGAAAATAACACAAAATAGAATTATACATGGTAATGAAATCGGTTACAGAGATGAAGTTTGGAGGGCCAGCTTCATTGCTTCACTTAATGACCGTCTTCTTCCTACTGTCATGTTTGTCTCCTGATTTATGTGCTCATGCAGACCCTGTAAGAAAAGTGGACTCCCGAGATTCAGCTTATTTTCAAGTGAAACCAGCAACTGATGTTACTCTTCCGAGACAGATTCACATTGCATTTGGTATTGAGCCGACAGACATGACAATACTTTGGGCAACGGAGATGCCAGACCAGTCCATTGTTCAGTATTATCCACAAAATCAACCGGGGAGCACAGCTACAGTTGACGGAAAATCAGTCACATTTGACAACAACACTGACGGATGGAAGCATTTACACAGAGTTGCCATACATGACCTTACACCAGGCATCCTGTACTTCTACAGTGTTGGTGGTGGTATCCAGTCACTAAGGAGCAAATTCTTCAGCTTCAGAGTTCCGTTTAAATACGAACCACATACCTACATGGTGTTTGGAGATCTAGGGACCAGAAGTGCAAATCTTCAGTTCTTAGTTCACGAGTCGAGAGCAAGAAACTATAGTGCTATTTTTCATGTAGGGGACATCGCCTATGATTTAGGTAGAGATGGTGGTAAAGTTGGGGATAAATTTTTGAATTTAATCCAATTGATGTCGGCAAACACTCCCTACATGACAGTGCCAGGAGATCATGATTTGTTTCAGGATGACCAATATAGGTACAGATTTTCTAATCCAAACGCAGACTGGCCGATGCAAATGGATCAACTGTGGTACAGCATAGACATGGGGAAAACTCATTTTGTGTGCATTTCCACTGAAATATTTTTCACTGATAAAGGAAATGAAGAAAGATTTATGAAGTGGTTACAACATGACTTAACAAAAGCCAATGACAACCGGAGTAATTTCCCCTGGGTTGTTGTGATGGCCCATCGACCAATGTACTGCTCTGTGGATGATACCAGGGAAGATTGTAGAAAGCCAGATTCTGTTGTAAGGCAAAGTCTGGAAAGTGTTTACTCTCAGTTTGGTGTGGATGTCGTGTTCAGTGGACATAATCATATGTATGAGAGAACATGGCCTACTTACCAGAACAAAGCTGTGGCCCTCAATTACATTAATCCATTGGCCCCAGTTCACATCATCGTTGGATCATTAGGGAACCAGTACCTGACAGAGTATATCTCTAAAAGCGGAGGGGGTTGGTCGGCTTTCACAAAGTCTGCAATGGAAATGGAAATTTACGGTCGTCTGACTGTCTACAACTATACACACCTAAATTGGGAGGCCAGATCAGCCATGGACAACAGTCTTGTGGACAAAATGTTGATAATTCAGAGAGTTCACGGACCATTCTTAAATCCTCAGGTCAATATTCCCGACCCACTGGGAGAGGCTGGGAAAGCCTGGAGAAATAAAAACGGAGCCACTGAAGATGATGGCTCACTGATCAACTTAAACTTTTTTGTAGTTTATGATGACTACAATACCCGAGTTACTGTCCTCTGTTTTACCTCAATAATCTTACTTATTGGAGTGTGTCTGAGGAAAAAAATCATCAACTTTTTAAGGTTTTGTTGTCTTAAAAATGATAAATGTAACAATAATATCACATGACTATATTCATGTGTAAGACAAAAGAAGAAATATGTTCACTAAAGTAAATGTTTTGGCTCTGTACTGATGTAGTGCCTTTTCCCCATTTGAGTCTTTCACCTTGTAATATACATTTGTAGTTGCTTTAGCTTTTAAGTTATCACAGGTAAAATTCACCAGAATGTCTTATTCAATCATAATGATTGATTTTCAATTAGAGGTTTTCTTTTTATTTCATTGATAAAATGAAATTTTGTCTTGTTTAACATTATATAATTAACTGTTAAGATTTTAGAAATGTTTTTTTTTTGGTCCCATACAAAAATGTTGCAGTTATTCATACAAATGATCAGTCTATCTTGGTCTTTCCGTCCTGATTTTGGTCATGTAACATATCTATTTCTCTTTCCGATAAAAGAGAATATTGAAGGGTAAGGATATATGCTACCTTACACTTAATTTTATTAGAATTAATAACCTAAATTTACTTTAACCCCATATTCAGCCGATAAGATCCTCAACCCTTTTAAGTGCCCTTTTCTGATTTTTTTCTGGTTTTTGGGTCTTATCTCGGATAAGAATATTGTCCATCATAGCTTATTTATGAATTTTGAAAGGTTTTGCAGTCATAATTTCCGGAAATCCCTAAGTGCACAGGGCACTTTTTCATAAAATATATCGTTGATTTTTGGGACACAGATATTTGAGGTTCGGACTCGCCCACACCCTGAGCCCACTGTATCTTTAGTATTAGTAATGGGATTCGTTAACATTTTGATAATGATGTTCAGGACTCTCTCAGAGAAACAAATCCTACAAAAATCTCTGTATATTTCAAGTATAGTATGGCACTTTTTTAGAATATAGAAACATGTTGTAATAAGGTAGCATACATCCTTAACTAGAATATTTTGTTACATTTTTACATGCTTAGATGTACATAATGTAAATAATACAAATATGTATATATGTAAATACAATGCAATCGTCTGAATAGATTTTGACATCTATTTCTGCGTATGCTGCACTTTTAATATTATAAAGGATATGATTTGACATGAACAGAACTTTACATATGTTATAAACATTCCATTATTTAGACAGTTTTATGCTTAAGCATGGACAGGTTTAATTAAATACGTCTAGTATTGTATTCATATGTAAATAATTGGCATTCATTTAGATATTTTGTTAACTTTGATTGTAAAATTCAATATAATAGATTACGAATTATCAGCTTTATAATGTATTTCATCTACATGTATATATTCATATACCAGGAAACAGACAATCTACATACTACACATAACATCTGATAATGACTTTATTAGAAAGTGAAGCATATGTTTTTCAACAATAAACTTCTCCTTACAACAGTATATCTGTGTTGTGACTGACTTCTATACCCACTGCTGAAGTAATGAAGCTTTACATATTTCACTTCCACCGAGTCAATTCTTACAACCACGCTAGACATTTGTTCTCCAACCTATATGTTTTAATTACATAACATCAGGGATGGACACTTACGCTAGTTCTCTAGTCCGAAATTTGTAGATTTCAGCAAGGACTCCTAACCAAACTAGTCCTTTGGTCTTGCAATACAAATGTGATCAATTAAAATATCATTTGGAAAAGTGCTTGAAATACAAATAAATTCTTCTTCCTTTATGAGAAACAGAACTCAAAAGATTGATTGCATTTGTTGCTGAGAATTACCAAAATTTTCCTAAAAACTCAATACAGTATCTCTTTACAGTAGTAGTTATAAAAATTGTCTGTCCCTTACAGTCAATTCATTTTTCATTTTTCGCTCTGGAGGTGTTTTGATCCTTAAAAGAAATGTTGGACTAGTTAAATATCCGTTAAACTAGTCCTTAGGACTATCTAAGCTGAAAAAACTAAGTGTCTAACCCTGAATATACAGGAATGGTGTGAACATTTTCAGATGTAAAGTTCTAGTACAGGTGTAAATATTAGTAACAAAGAACCTCATCAATTGTAGTTCTAGTGATAACAGAACAATTAGAACAACCTAACAGTCGAACTACAGGAATTGTATTTCAACTGGAGTAACGTTTGGTCAAATAACACAATGTTCTGTAAGTCACTAGTCAAGAGGCTAGCATCACATTCAGACAAAAATCAACGTACATATCTGAAAGATTGAGAGTGACCATCTAAAATGATCTGCCAGGAACAGAAGATGCTTTGACCGTCTCTCCCTCCACCTTTGACCCTCCAAAAAAAACCTACATGTACTATATTGGACCATCTCTCCCTCCACCTCTGGCCCTTCGTAAAGAAACCTACAAGTACTGGATTGGACCATCTCGCCCCCCATAAAAAACCTACAAGTACAATATTGGACCATCCCTCCCTCCACCTCTGACCCTTTATAAAGAAACCTACATGTACTATATTGGACAATCTCTCCCTCCACCTCTGACCCTTTATAAAGAAAACAACATGTACTATATTGGACAATCTCTCGCTCCACCTCTGACCCTCTGTAAAGACACCTACTTGTACTATATTGGATCATCTCTCCCTCCACCTCTGACCCTTTATAAAGAAACCTACATGTACTATATTGGACCATCTCTCTCTCCACCTCTGACCCTTTGTAAAGAAACCTACAAGTACTGGATTGGACCATCTCGCCCCCCATAAAAAACCTACATGTACTATATTGGACCATCTCTCTCTCCACCTCTGACCCTTTATAAAGAAACCTACATGTACTATATTGGACAATCTCTCGCTCCACCTCTGACCCTCTGTAAAGAAACCTACAAGTACAATATTGAACCATCTCTCCTTCCACCTCTTACACTCTGTAAAGAAACCTAAAAGTACAATGTTGGACAATCTCTCCCTCCACCTCTGACCCTCTGTAAAGAAACCTACTTGTACTATATTGGATCATCTCTCCCTCCACCTCTGACCCTTTATAAAGAAACCTACATTTACTATATTGGACCATCTCTCCCTCCACCTCTGACCCTCTGTAAAGAAACCTACAAGTACTGTATTGGACCATCTCTCCCTCCACCTCTTACCCTCTGTAAAGAAACCTACAAGTACCATATTGGAACATCTCTCCCTCCACCTCTTACCCTCTGTAAAGAAACCTACATGTACTATATTGGACCATCTCTCCCTCCACCTCTTACCCTCTGTAAAGAAACCTACATGTACTATATTGGACCATCTCTCCCTCCACCTCTTACCCTCTGTAAAGAAACCTACATGTACTATATTGGACCATCTCTCCCTCCACCTCTTACCCTCTGTAAAGAAACCTACATGTACTATATTGGACCATCTCTCCCTCCACCTCTTACCCTCTGTAAAGAAACCTACATGTACTATATTGGACCATCTCTCCCTCCACCTCTTACCCTCTGTAAAGAAACCTACATGTACTATATTGGACCATCTCTCCCTCCACCTCTTACCCTCTGTAAAGAAACCTACATGTACTATATTGGACCATCTCTCCCTCCACCTCTTACCCTCTGTAAAGAAACCTACATGTACTATATTGGACCATCTCTCCCTCCACCTCTTACCCTCTGTAAAGAAACCTACATGTACTATATTGGACCATCTCTCCCTCCACCTCTTACCCTCTGTAAAGAAACCTACATGTACTATATTGGACCATCTCTCCCTCCACCTCTTACCCTCTGTAAAGAAACCTACATGTACTATATTGGACCATCTCTCCCTCCACCTCTTACCCTCTGTAAAGAAACCTACATGTACTATATTGGACCATCTCTCCCTCCACCTCTTACCCTCTGTAAAGAAACCTACATGTACTATATTGGACCATCTCTCCCTCCACCTCTTACCCTCTGTAAAGAAACCTACATGTACTATATTGGACCATCTCTCCCTCCACCTCTTACCCTCTGTAAAGAAACCTACATGTACTATATTGGACCATCTCTCCCTCCACCTCTTACCCTCTGTAAAGAAACCTACATGTACTATATTGGACCATCTCTCCCTCCACCTCTTACCCTCTGTAAAGAAACCTACATGTACTATATTGGACCATCTCTCCCTCCACCTCTTACCCTCTGTAAAGAAACCTACATGTACTATATTGGACCATCTCTCCCTCCACCTCTTACCCTCTGTAAAGAAACCTACATGTACTATATTGGACCATCTCTCCCTCCACCTCTTACCCTCTGTAAAGAAACCTACATGTACTATATTGGACCATCTCTCCCTCCACCTCTTACCCTCTGTAAAGAAACCTACATGTACTATATTGGACCATCTCTCCCTCCACCTCTTACCCTCTGTAAAGAAACCTACATGTACTATATTGGACCATCTCTCCCTCCACCTCTTACCCTCTGTAAAGAAACCTACATGTACTATATTGGACCATCTCTCCCTCCACCTCTTACCCTCTGTAAAGAAACCTACATGTACTATATTGGACCATCTCTCCCTCCACCTCTTACCCTCTGTAAAGAAACCTACATGTACTATATTGGACCATCTCTCCCTCCACCTCTTACCCTCTGTAAAGAAACCTACATGTACTATATTGGACCATCTCTCCCTCCACCTCTTACCCTCTGTAAAGAAACCTACATGTACTATATTGGACCATCTCTCCCTCCACCTCTTACCCTCTGTAAAGAAACCTACATGTACTATATTGGACCATCTCTCCCTCCACCTCTTACCCTCTGTAAAGAAACCTACATGTACTATATTGGACCATCTCTCCCTCCACCTCTTACCCTCTGTAAAGAAACCTACATGTACTATATTGGACCATCTCTCCCTCCACCTCTTACCCTCTGTAAAGAAACCTACATGTACTATATTGGACCATCTCTCCCTCCACCTCTTACCCTCTGTAAAGAAACCTACATGTACTATATTGGACCATCTCTCCCTCCACCTCTTACCCTCTGTAAAGAAACCTACATGTACTATATTGGACCATCTCTCCCTCCACCTCTTACCCTCTGTAAAGAAACCTACATGTACTATATTGGACCATCTCTCCCTCCACCTCTTACCCTCTGTAAAGAAACCTACATGTACTATATTGGACCATCTCTCCCTCCACCTCTTACCCTCTGTAAAGAAACCTACATGTACTATATTGGACCATCTCTCCCTCCACCTCTTACCCTCTGTAAAGAAACCTACATGTACTATATTGGACCATCTCTCCCTCCACCTCTTACCCTCTGTAAAGAAACCTACATGTACTATATTGGACCATCTCTCCCTCCACCTCTTACCCTCTGTAAAGAAACCTACATGTACTATATTGGACCATCTCTCCCTCCACCTCTGACCTTTCGTAAAGAAACCTACAAGTACTATATTGGACCATCTCTCCCTCCATCTCTGACCTTTCGTAAAGAAACCTACAAGTACTGTATTGGACCATCTCGCCCCCCATAAAAAACCTACATGTACTATATTGGACCATCTCTCCCTCCACCTCTGACCCTTCGTAAAGAAACCTACAAGTACATGTACTATATTGGACCATCTCTCCCTCCACCTCTGACCCTCTGTAAAGAAACCTACAAGTACTATATTGGACAATCTCTCCCTCCACCTCTGACCCTCTGTAAAGAAACCTACAAGTACATGTACTATATTGGACAATCTCTCCCTCCAGCTCTGACCCTCTGTAAAGAAACCTACAAGTACTATATTGGACAATCTCTCCCTCCAGCTCTGACCCTCTGTAAAGAAACCTACAAGTTCTATATTGGACCATCTCTCCCTCCACCTCTGACCTTTCGTAAAGAAACCTACATGTACAATATTGGACCATCTCTCCCTCCACCTCTGACCCTCTGTAAAGAAACCTACAAGTACAATATTGGACCATCTCTCCCTCCACCTCTGACCCTCTGTAAAGAAACCTAGAAGTACTATATATGAGTTTGTTATCCCCCTCCAAATGAACTTGGCAGGATAAAGCAAAAAGGTTCTGTTAATTAGTCTGTCATTCTGTCCTTACATCTGTCCAGTAGCATTTCTCATAACTCAAAAACTATTCAAGATGACAATGTAAAACTTTGTATGCACATCATTCCAGTCCTGTATCATGTAACAATGCCTTATTCATTTTACCATGGAAACAAATGGGCAAATATGCCGATTATTGATTGTGGTGCATATATATATATATCTCGGAAACCCTTCAAGATAACTTAATCAATTTTATATGCAGACAAATCTAGTAAACTATTTGTGCCTTTAGCTATCGATGCATTTCCGTTTACAATATTTTCCAGTTACAGGACATTGTAACACAGAAACAAATAGATGAAAATGCAAAAGAAATGCCATTTTTGGAACATATCTCATTCCCAGCTCCCAAGCATTGTTCCATTAGTTAGGGATCTACATAACTGTGTCCTCATATGTGCATTAATCTTAAGTGACTTGGTAAATTCAGTGATTTTGAACCACAGTTGCTTGGGACTGGCCAATGTTATGTTCTTCACACCCTTGAAAATTAGATCATCTTTCACATTTTCCTCCGCGGGGGATCTGAAAGACTACACGTCCTTACGCAGCTTTTCAGTTTGTGACGTATTCTAAGGTACAAGGAAGATATCAAAATTGGTAGCATAACCCTTAAATTTTGAAGATGACAAATTTGTTACCTTAGGGTCAAGTTTATGAGCAAGGGTTCAAAGGTAAAATCTGTTTTCTTTTCTGCTTGTCGAACTGAATCAGTGAATTATATTTAATAAAACTCTTATGACAAGACTTGTGTATCAGACACAGGTCCATTACTTAACGATCAAGGTCAAATCACTGCAAATCTTATCCTGACATTAACTACTGAACCAGTCAGTGTTAAAATTGTGGTGGAATCTTTGTAGGTTTGTGTTTTATGATCTAGTATATGTTAGAGACATATTTGTATAAATATATATATCACTCTGATGTATGACTGCAGCCGAACCAAACTTTATAGATGTATGACTGCAGCCGAACCAAACTTTATAGATGTATGACTGCAGCCGAACCAAACTTTATAGATGCAGTGGAACATCTTATTGCAGCAGCTCTTTTCTCAGTCCATCTGTAGTTAAAGTTTTACCTTCACTGGCTTCTGAAAAACGATTGGCACAAAAAGATGATATCTCAGGTCTGCGAGTAGCATTCTTGGATTATATAATTAAGTCAGTATCATGCTTGTACATAAAAATGACCATGACCCTTAATTTAGTCCTGACTATGAACCAAGAGGCATAAGGGTCATGAATTAAGGGTCAAGGCCCGGGCTATCAAGTTGTTAAAATAAATGACCTTGACCCACTTATAAGGGCAGATGGGCCAAATGTGTTGAAATATTTGAATGATTTCTTCTGTATACGTAAAGGCCCTGAAGCATGCTGGAATAATGAGCTATCAAATTTAGTCCAATAAGTAACCATGCAAGCTGTCTGGCTTACTTTCAATTAAGGAATGATTTTTATTTTTTCAACATTTATGAGGTCATAACAACAATGGGTTTATGGACATATTGAATGAATCGCGTTAGCGATTCATGTAAAATATGTCCAAAAACCCATTGTTGTTATGACCTCATAAATGTTGAAAAAATAAATATCATTCCTTATATTTACATTGACGAATCCTTTCAGTGGATCGATATAACAACGAATAAAACAAATAAACAGGGTTTGTTCCTGCTTATACACGGGTGCAACGCAGTGGCGAGAACAGTGTTTTTTCGCGGGGAAATGTGACACTATCGTGAGAGATCTTAGCAACCGTCAACAACAATAACACAACAAAATGTAGTTCCATATTCAATGTTTATTTGTAGCACAGGACACGTGAATACGTGGATATTTCACAAAGCACAGTTCAATAATATTTTAAGATGTAAGAATTAAGCATCTAGTTCGGTCGTTCCGAGTGAGTAGTTTTTGTAGTGTATTACTACGCAGTGTGATCAGGTTACTATCAGTTCCCACGTGCTGAGATTCTATGAACACCTGTGTTATGCATTTATGAATGTAATTTTTGTCAATGGGTCTAAGCATACAGAATGTAAATATTGCCATATAAAGGCCAATGTTTGGGAATATATGTAATACAAATTAGTTTTAAAATTATTTAATGTCCAATTTTTGCACATTAAAAATTATATAAAGAGCACTGGAAAACATTTAAATACTAATTCCTAAATACTGTAATTTAATAAGTGACATTATAATTGTAGATTATCCCGTAATTATTTGTTTCCCTTGTCCAGATGGACAATGAGTGGTGCCCCCATATTTCTTAATGGGACACACTCTGCTATATCATGTGGACAACCACTTTCTCCTATTACGGTAATTGTTTCACGGACTTGGATGTAAGTGAATCTAACCCGAACCCTTTCTAAAGAGCATTATGTATTTCGTTTTAATTTTGCCAGGTGTGTTCTTAAACTTTGATAAACTATGATGTTGACGTTTCTTATCTTAGTCAGTGATACGTTTGGTGGGAAAGGCGCAATATGATCTTAAAATAGAGCGCTGCATGGACATCGATGGTACACAGAAAAAATGGCAGAGAGGAAGAAAGAGGCGGATCATCTGCCTACTTCAGAATCCGATCAAGATGATTTTATAGAGCCAGACCCACCCGTAGTCACCAATCAAGCTGTTGCTGATACTTTTGTCAACATCGATTATGAAGATCTCGTCAATCCAGACTATGACAGTCATCCTAGTGGATACATCCACGAAATTGTGCGACAGGGATCACACGACGACGACGACGAGCCAAGAGTGGCGGTTAGTTCCGTGAGCGATGTGTCGACAGGAGAGGAGTCTAGCGAGGATCACACAGAGGTACGAATGAAAGATATTTCGGTCAAGTTTTATATACATTTAATTGTCAAAAACTATAGCTGTGCACAGGAGCTGAAAACGTACATTACACTATATGTGGATATAACTTCTATGCCCTATGATTTTCTTGTGACAGAATTGAAGGCTCATGGTTAGTTACTTGATTGGTTAGACATCAAAAGCTGACCAATTACAAGGCTGATGGACATTTGTATCTTTTAAGATTATCAAAAAGGCTACTCTGAATTCAAAGGCATTCAACTTTATCTTAAATGCCTGCGCACAATTCACCCAATCGGGGGGCGCGTCTAATTACCCAATACTACCCAATACCACCCAATACTACCCAATACCACCCAATACTACCCAATACTACCCCATACGATCCAGTTATGAACCAAATACTTCTTTATTACTGTGAAATATCACCTTTGTAGACGTTATTTACTTCCATCTGCCATATTTTATCGGGAAATATGCGATTTGGTGCCGAAAACATCACCGAATTGCCGTGACTATGACCC